TATAAATTGGCAACTTATCATTGTTGTATTGATCGACTGTGAGTGTTCCACTTTACACGACATCTAACTCCTATTAGTTGCTTCATTTGCAATGTTCTAATTAGATCTAACATTTCCCGCGGTATGATGTAAGGCGACTTCGTGGCCTTTTAAACATATTTATGGTTATTTCAGACGATATTCATTTAATCTTTTACATTGATTTATTATGCAATAGGAGTTTTTATTTTATTTTATTTTATTCAGGACAACACAATAACATAATGATGCTTCAAGTAAATCGCAATTTATAAATAATATTGTAACCAGCACCGTTATCCACAAAGTAAAGAGTTGCGTAATAGATAGATAAGTCTTACTGGTGGATGGTAGGGCCTTTTTCTGTCTGAGGTTACGTCTGGGTAGTATCACATTTTTCTGGAAACGAGGTATTCCATTTTAGTCCTCAGGGGTGACAACGCATCTATATTTTGATTTTAAATCGAGAATAGATGTAAATGTCTATGGGCTACATTATCCACTTACCATCAGGAGGACTGTGTGCTCATTTGTCACAATTATTCTATAAAAACTCCAGCGGCGACCAACTCAGGACACTCAATGTAATAGCTCGTGTTAGTCATGACTTTTAATTGCGATCTTATTCTTACACTTATCTTGAGATTGTTTGCAGTTCAATGTTCTAAAACTAAATCTTATAGCGAAAAAATCTTATGTTACATACTAAAACTAAACCTTCATTATATCTCCAAGGCTATATACAAGGTTTAAGCCTCTATTTACTCATCCATCAAATGCCACTGTCGCGTTCTCGTCGAGCTTAGTTAAAACGGTAACGATTTATAATAATAATAACAAACAAACATGTTTGTTTGTCTTCTATGAGTCTCCATACTATTTATTCGATTACGCTGAACTTTGCTTAAATGTTGCGTGACTTCGACTGCGGACTTCTGACTAATTTGTTCGTTTGTTTGGTCGTCTTCTGTGCGTTTCTACACCATTTATTCGATTACGGCGAAATTTTGTTGAGGTGTTATTTGCGTCAGCGAACGTTCTTACAGAAAGCATTGGAACGCAAGTCACGCATACATATTTTTTTAAATTTAATATATTAGAGTAATACATTTGCAGCCAACAGAAGACCACAGATGGGTTGTCAACACTGATAACCGAGATAGAATACCTGCCGGTAGAAATAGATATGAGGGTGGTACCCTATCATAGTAGTCTACCTCGTAAACTGTCTCGTTTGTCTAGTGGTCATCCCGGGTTCGAATTCCGGGTCGGGCCTAATTCAGTTATTGGGTTTTTCAGCCACGAAATTCACAGTAAGAGCCCGGCGTCAGGAAGTTGGCGGTGCCTTACGACCGTGTCTGGAAAGCACGAAGCCGTTGGTCCTGCGCCTGATCTCTCTCCGGTCGTGTCTAATCACCGTCCCATGGGACCATGAGAGAGAGGTAGTTGAGAGTGCACTTGTACTTGCTCATTCACTTGGACACTTTAATCCTGTCCTGCGCAGATGGCTGGTCCGTAAAGACCAGCCATCGTGACGGAAATTCGATTTGGAGGACATTATCATAGTAGTGCATCCACTTAATTATCCACCTTTTGTTTTTCGGTGTTAAGGTGTTCGAAATTTTTTTTAATTTAATAGGATTTTATTACTAATACCATAATTGATAATGGTCTTCTGAATGATGTTCTCGTTTCTCGAACAATAATATCTGAAAACATGTGTGCTCTTTTCTATTTATAACATTATTTACAGCACACATATAGCATTTAACCTTGATAGAGCAAAGCTGCACCGACCGGCAAAGGACCTCAATCTTACACAATACTAGCTTAAAATAGCAGCATAATGCAATGTTGTGTTCATATGGTGAGTGTTGAGAACCTGAAACCCTTTTTACTAGTAAAGATGCGTCCCACATTAGTTGTTAGGGGTGACGGAAAACACATTTGCATTATGATTTTATTTGGCGATAAATTAGCACTGTGTGCACGTTTGTCACCCTCCTTCAAAAAGTACAGCTGCATGTTTCCTAAGCGCAAGTGCAGGTGTAAAAAATACAAATATGTTATTTTACCAGATGTTACTCCTTCCCTGCCTAGGATTCCGTCAAGGTAAGTGACGTCATCTTACAATTTTTTTCCGTCAAATTACAGTGCCTGCACTGCTGTATTCTAGCCATAAGGGTATAGAGAGTCATTATAATTAGAAGCTGAGAGTCAAAATTTAGATAGTCCTTACAACCTAGGTTACAACGTACGTAAGCCCTCTTTGTTTGAAGTTGGTTGCAGGTGTCCATGGACTGCAGCCGTCACTTACTATAAGGTGGACTGTTAGTTTGTTTGCCACTTCACTTTTATGAATAAAGTGATAAATACTATATTCTTATATTTAGTGTAAAAGATAGGACGCAGTCACATGCCCGAAAAATATTTATCGCTAATATTTGACGGCGTGACGCAGCAGTTAGGGCATTAACACGATCATGCCAACGTCTATTATAAATATTAATATATATATACAATAATTTACTCTTTGGTTATTGCAGCAGTTCTAACGTAAAGTAATAATAATACTATAACTAAAATCTGTAGTGATGTTTTTACACAACATGTTCTTGCACTATTTTCGCATCGTACACTCGTGACCTCGGTCCCTATATTCACTTTTCACGTCGGAAGCGAGTCATTTTGTGCAGAATTGCAGCATTTTGTAAAATTGCTCTTCAGCTGTACCAACTATTACTGGCTCCATTCGTGCACAATGAAGGTTTAATGACCCAGAATAAATACGTATATGTATTGTAATATGCCTACATATTTAACTTTAAGATGTAAATTAATTTTATTTGGGCAATCGGAGCTTGAGTAATTACTGGTTAATTAAGTCATTATTTAAGGATTTATTTGGCGACTATTATATATTATACCTCCCAACACTCGTATAGTAAGAACCTTTAGTGGTTTTAATATTTATATATATATATATATATATATATATATATATATGTTCTCGATATTTTTATTTCACAATTGCATGCCAAACTTCACAAATGCGCAAAGCGCGAAGGTATGTTCTACTAGAGCCTAAAAAACAAAATTACAACGTTTTGTCGCATAAAATCGTATCTAACAATAATATTGAACATATAAATGGTTTTAGTGGCTTATGGCGTAGATTTTTCAAATCCACATGGGGTAAACACGATAACTTTTGAAAATATTAATTGTTTAACTCAATCTATTTTTTAATATCTTGATCTATCATGTGAGAAGTCATGGAATGTAAATGGCGGTTTAATTTTCTTTTGTTTAGTTATATTTAATATTTTTCGGCGTACATATCAATTTTCGGTGTTATAGCAGCCTTGTAAATAAATATATTTATTAAATAGACTGCCTCTGCCTCACTCACTTCGGCCACAGAGTAAAGAGTCGGCGTCAATCGCCGTCGTGAGTGGACACTGTGTCGGTTGTTTGCAGCGGCTCAAAAAGATCGCTGTATAAATTCTAAATATTCGAAAAACCAAATTTCACACATTATTATTATAATAATCAAAGATTTTTATTACAATGTTTTAAAAGCACAGAATAAATAATAGTATTACGTACTAAAAATAAGTAGGATGTATATATTTAAGTATATTTTTACTTAAATACGTCTTGGACTTTATGGAGTGACCTGAATGATGATATGATGATCATATGAGCATTATGAGTCGTGCACTTTTGGATTTTCCAAACTTTATTTTAAATTAACGTTTGACATAAAATTATTGGAAAATTGGAAGTGTAATAATAAGGTTATTAGTGAAAACTTGTGTGTATTTAAATTTAAACTATTAAAAAATTTACGTATAAATCATGTTATACGTAATTTTTTTATTCCGCTTAGGGCATGCACAATTGGATTTACCAATAGTTTTTTTCAATTACATTTTTTTGATATCTTATGTCCTCGGTGGTGGGGATACCTTTTCCCAAATTTGTCTAAATGATAGTTCCTTACCATGTTTCGCTGTTAAGCACCAATGCCTTCACTATTGTGGGCCGATTTGTAGGACATAGCCAGTATAATTAATTACAGAGAGGCAGACAATCAAAAACATTAGGGTAACAACGCACCTGCAGCCTTGTTTTAAGTTGCTTGCAGTTCACCTGGGTATGATAGTGACCACTTGCCATCAATTTAAGTTCAACTGCCATATTATGCAAAATATCGCAACATTCATAACCCTATTACGACGCACCCAACTTTAACGGTGTCTTTGTTGAAATTAGATGTTGAATTATCATACGCCGTTACCAAACGACACGAGCGGTTAAATTGTATTCAGTCTTTAAAATTGAATATAATCTGCTTATGTCTTCTCCTTAAGCATTTGTTTAATATATTGTTATTTATTATTATTTAACATTTATATATTCTTCAGTCATAAAATGTTGCTTTGTGGTAAGCTATATTATGGTTGTAGCACGAATAGGTCGGCTCGACCGGGGAAGGACCACGCTCTCACAGAATACCAGCGTAAAATAGCAACTCAACGCTGCTGTTTTTCGTATGGTAAGTGTAGACAACCGTAGACCCTTTTTTACTGGAAACGAGGCATTCCATCTTAATTCTCAGGGGTGATAACGAATCTGCATTTTGATTCATAATTGAGGATATGGGCCACAGCATCAACTTACCATCAGATGGACTGTGTTTTCATTTATTTGTCACTCCTATTCCTTAAAAAAGAACATCAGTTTGAAGAAATTACTGATTGAATAACAAAACTTGTTTGCAAAAGTCTGAAACGGTTTCTGTTAGTTAAATCGATATAAATATTTTAACATTGTCGTCAGAAATGTATTCAATTCCCTCTTTAAAATAACTTTTTAACATTTTATAATTTCCAAAATTTTATTATATTTGTAATAGAAATCAGATGTATTGAAAGATGATCGCAAAGAGATAATTATGTCTCCTTTGCTTGTTTCAGATTGCCAAATATCGAGACGAAACTGGATTCATTCTATAATTATCGTCATGGATTCTGAAAGGTAAGATTTACATTCGAGATCAAAGCTATTAATTAGCAGCAGCTGTCTCAAATCTATACATCTATACAAATAAACAAAATTAAAGTGTCTGTTTGTAATGTCAAAATTACGGAATGAATTATGTATGAATAATTTAGACTTAGAGAATGTATGGAATAATGTTAAGAAAGTTTTGGTGGATGCAGCCACCGAAGTATGTGGAGTAAGTAAGAGAACGAATGAAAGGAAAAGCAATACATTATGGTGAGATGATGAGGTAAGGATGGAAGTAGAAGCAAAGAAGAGAGCATGGCTAGATTTACTAGCAACCAAAGCTGGTAATTCTGGCGGTATGAATGATGAGATTGAAAGAAAAAAGGCAGACTGTAGACGTATAAATAAGAGAGTAAAAGAAGTTGTTGAAAGGAAAATGCAAGAAAGGATAGATAAGAATGATAGAAGGATATCTGATAACTTCCAGACAAATATTAAAATGTTCTGGAAGCTCGTAAGAACTGCCAGGGGAAATTCAAAACAGCCTAGAATGAATGCTATACGAGACGAGAACGGGCTGCATGCTGAATGATGAAGTTTAGAATTTAAAGAGATGGAAGAAATACTTTTAAAGCGTGTTTAAGAGTGAAGAGTCGACTGAATTAAGTGACATAGAAATTCCGAGAGAAATGGAGAGAAGTAGAGAGATAAGTGTAGATGAAATAATGAAAGCAAAAAAAAGCATGAAAGCAGGTAAGGCAGCCGGATATGATAGAGTATCACTCGAAATGTTAAGCGCTGGAGAGGGTGTGGTTGCAGGCTTGCTGTACACCTTGTTTAATTTGTGTTGGGAAGACTAATGCAAAGACGTTATAGTCCCAATATATAAAGGAAAGGAGTCATAGCAGGACTGTAAAAACGACCGTGGTATCAGCTTGCTTAGCATTGTGGGTAAATGAAATACTGTAATAAGGTGATAATTGAAAGAGTTATGGAAGAAACTGATGGAAAAATTTGGGATGTGCAAGCTAGATTTAGAAAGGGGATGGGGTGTACTGATCAATTCTTTTCCATAAGCATGATTGCGGAGAAATTTTTGGCCAAAAACCAGAAAGTTTTTTGTGCGTTCATGGATTTGGAAAAGGCTTATGAGTGGACAGAAACGTGTTAAGGCAAACACTGACCTCATTTGGGTTGAGCGCTGGTTTGATACAGGCATTAAGGTCTCTTTATAGGGACACTAGTGCTTGTGTCAGGATCAACGGGGTCTACTCGGAATGGTTTGGCATCCAAAAAGGTGTCAGACAGGGCTGTGTGGCTTCCCCGTGGCTGTTTAACCTATTTATGGACAGTTTTTTGCAAACTTTGAAAGTTGAAGAATGTGGGTTGAGAATGGGTGAGTTAACCGTCAAATGCCTTTTGTACGCCGCGCCGATGATCAAGTCATATTTGCATCGTCGGCGGCCGAGTTGCAAATGATGGTTACTTTAATGAACTGTTCATTGAAAGAAAGGGGTATGAAAGTGAACGCAAGTAAGACGAAAGTGATGGTTTTTGAAAGAGAAGAAAGTAAATCGTTATGTGAAATAAGAGTAGAAGGGGAGTTGATTGAGCAAGTGGATGAGTTTGTATATTTGGGATGCTTATTTAGCAGGGATGGTAGATATGGTAAGGATATAGAACGACGAGTGAACGCAGGAAATAGAGTGAATGGGGCTCTACACGCTATTATGAGGAGTCAGAATGTATCAAATAAGGCACGTATGGCATTTCATAGTGCTGTGTTAGTCCCTACTGTAATGTATGGTAGTGAAAGTTGGTTCTGGCAGAAGAAGCATGAGAATAGAATAAATGCTGTAGAAATGTGGTCCTTAAGGAGTATGCTGGAGCTGAATCTGAATGACAGGGTGAGAAATAGTGAGATAAGAGAAAAGTGTGGTTTGCAAGATGACGTTGTGATCAGGATTAAAAAAGAAATGCTTCGGTGGTTTGGTCATGTAAAAAGAATGAACGAGGAAAGAGTGACAAAGCAAATTAATGTTTCAGAAGTGAACGGCAGAGTCGGAAAGGGACGCCCTAGACGAAGATTTATCTACCAAATCGGCGATACATTGAAAATGGGCCAGATTAGGAGTACTCTTAACCGATGAGCGTGTATGCGTAGATATATGGATGTAAAGGAGGCGAGATAGGTGTGTCAGGATTGCGCCAAATGGAAGTCCGTAGTCTCTGCCTACCCCTCTGGGTGACAGGCGTGAGTTTTTGTGTGTGTTGTGTGTGTGTGAGTAACTTAGGCTACTTTTATTTTAGAAAACGGATTAGGATTCCGCGCAAAATAATTATATAGCATGTTCACCGATTAAAAAAAACATACGCATTGAATACAAAATCTCCTAATTTTTTGAAGTCTGTCTAAAACACTAACGAATCTATTTAACGAAATCACTAAGATTATTTAGTCATGGAATCAAGTGGGAGTGCCATCTGATTCGGTGGATGTCGAAAAGGATCAATAAAGGATATGCTTGTAAGAGCTGGTGGTATAACCATATTTCGCATTATACAGTATACTTGATGTAAAATACCCATGAGCGATGACGTATAGAGTTAAAGGTGCGAGGCCCTTTACTACAATGAGAGCATCCACGACTTTTTCTGCCACCAGGGCGGGCCACTTAGGAATGAGGTGAAATAGGCAGTATTCATGGAGGGAGAAGATTTGTAATTGTAAGTGGTAGAGCCATGCTGCAGCTATATTATGGTTGTAGCACGAATGGGTCGGCTCGACCGTGGAAGGATCACGCTCTCACAGAATACCAGCGTATGTTTCGTATGGTGAGTGTAGAGAACCGGAGACCCTTTTTAATGGAAACGAGGCATTCCATCTTAGTCCTCACGGGTGACAACGCATCTGCATTTTGATTCGTAATCGAAGATAAATGTAGATGTCTATGGGCCACAGCAACCACTTACCATCAGGTGGACTGTGTGCTCGTTTGTAACCCTTATTCTATAAAAAAAAAATTGTTAAAAAAAAGTAAGAGCTGATGTTTCTTTCTGTAATATTTTTAGTTATATTTAAGTATGTATATTAATTAGATAAGAAATGGATAAACTAAACTGGAAATTCCTACTAGTAGAAAAAATGAAAAAGATGTAGAGAGATAATTTTGCAAAAAAAAATCAACGCACTAACTACTAAACCACTAAGACATTACAGACGCATTATTTTGTGTAATCAGGTATATATTTTAGAAACCAATAAATTTTACGTAATCGCAACTTCTCAATTTCATTGACATTGTGTAACAAATAACTTCACCTCAGTCCGAAGTACTAACATCTGGTGAGCCAAAGATTATTAGCATTCATTGCCATTCCGTCTGCCAATCAAATCGTGGCGATATATTGAAAATGGGTCAAGCTAACAGTACCTTTAACCGAATAACATACATGTTATATATGTATGGGATGTAAAGGAAGCGAGAAAGGCGTGTCAGGATCGTGCCAATTAAACGTTCGTAGTCTCTGCCTACTCTTCTGATTGATAGGCGTGAGATCTTGTTTGTGTTTTTCCATATGTTTTGTAAGATCTAAATGGAATTTGAAATCAAAACCCTCATTATTTTCTCGGCTTCGATGAAAAATACGTAACTTTAATCTTTTCTTCGGCCTTGGCCTAGTACCGGGAGTTTAGTCTTGAATGCCATATGGAAATAAACGGCCTTGCGCAACTCATTAATTTGACTTAAATCGCTTACATCTTACTATACTTTCGTATTTTTGCATCAAAATATCGACTCAAAACGTATACATACTACACATCAGCTGTCTCATTTCCCTTTGTCACCTGTAACAACACCTAGGGGATGATATTGGGTAGTGGATTCTCTTACGCCGTCACTATAATTTATTATTTACTAGCTGGTACCCGGCGCGTTGCTGCCACAGAAGAAATAATTGTGGAAATATCGTTTTAAATTTGGAAGAGACATATTGTTTAATTAGGAATGATAATGCATTGAAATTGAGTGATACATGCACAATTTTTCAATTTTGTCGGTAATACACTTACTGTAAGTTAACTGTAATATGCCTATAACCTTCGCGCAAGTGCAAGCGATACATGGCAAAGTTTTACCACAATCTGATGAACAGTATGGCAGCACATAAAATACGAACAAACAAAAAATAACTTTTGTGTATTAGATTAGCGATCCGCCTCCTCTTCGCACAGGTGATTTCTGGATGTCGACAACAGCTCCACCTATTGGGTCCAATTCTGAATCTAAACCATCCAGACTCACCATCCACATTCAAACATACACAAAAGATTTCATCTAAATCGGTCCAGCGCTTTTAGAGTTTTTGCGAGATTAACGGCCAATTGATTTTTATATATAGAGAGATAAGTAAAATAAGTATGTAGTTTTAGAAACTTTATCAGTACTTACATGTTCCAGAAATTAACTACTCTTTTGAAGGGGTTATTGAATTATTTAAGAGACAACCTATTTTGTAGTGACAAGATAACATTTACGTCTTCATGATGTTTAGTGTTATTGCAATTGATGAAGGTCAGATATGGCCGCTCAATGCAAGAAACGTGCTTTAGCGAAGTGAGATAGATTGCGATGCTCTAGATAACCTACATTTGCACAGTAATATACAATGCTTTAGAGGGCAGATAAACGCCAGGTTAAAGTGGGTGGGCTTAAATTTCTAGCAATCTTAATGTTTCCCGTGTCACTTGTAATGTATTCGATTATATTTAAGATCTAAAGTACTTGTGTTATATAGGATGCTACTTGCTAATAACGAGTGTGTTTTAGCATTTACTATAATAATCTAATTTATAAAAATTTATGTTTGTTTGTTCGTATTTTATGCGTTGCCATAGCGTTGATCTTATTGCGGTAAAACTTTGTCGACTAGTTGCTTGCATTTCCGCGAAGGTTATATTTAGGCAGAGTACAATTAACTTACAGTTCGTGGCGCGCGTATCGTACCGTTAAATTTAATAAAGT